ATGCTTTTTAGATTTTTCTTAATTATGATCCCATATTTCAAATGAAAATATTTTGGTACCTTCAAGGCAACTCCAGTCATAAAAGGGGAAATGATGTTTCAGGGAATCCTGTCAGTTCCTTAAGAATTACACACAATCCAATGTGTGAATCCTACTAATACCTTGCTGTGAATGATATTGAATGACAGCAAATTCCCTAGATTACTGGTATACTGCATTTAAAAAAGAATCGTGGGCTTAAATGTAGATATTTGCTTTACTTACTATTTAAATGGAGCTCCTTTTATTCCTTAGAACTGCAACACAGGAGTGTCTAATTTGCTCCATTTATTTAATGGGCCACTGCCTTACTTCATATTTGTCTCCTGTAAACATTCATTTTCTTGTTTATGTTTTGTTTGTTTGGGTTTTTTTTGATTATCACATTTACTTAGAATCTGCTTTTGTAATATTAAATGTTTCAGTAAGTGTTTAGAGGTATTGCAAAACTGGCAAAGGGAGTCAGAGGCCCCAACATGCAAAATATACATACGTGGTACAAGGACATCATATTTGATATACACTATGTTGACTTCAAGTTTAAGAAACAAATTGTCATCGAAGTGAAATCCATTTCAGTTCAACTTTAATCTAAAAGCATTATCAGATTATGACTGGCATAGATTAATTTATTTAACTCCATGCACAGAGCAGCTTTCATATTCAGAGAAAATGTGCTCTGGGTTGATACAGGTGTCCCCGCCTCACGGCATGAGAACTGTCTGCCTCACACTCTCTCTTCCATTTCGTGTTTGTTAGAAGTTCTTCAGGTTTCAAGGCAGGGGGTCCCAAATTTAATTTGTTTGGATAGCGTAACCTTAGCTCCAAAGCAGTTACCAGACAAAAGTGTTCAGGTTGTGGTAAGGTAGAAGATGCATGCTCTGGACTGATTACAGCCCTTTCAAACATTACTCTACATCTGCTGAAAATTATCTTGTTTTATTTCTTATGGGAATCCCATTTTCCCTGAAAAGTAGATCATGTTTAGGACGGCATCGTACTTACAATGGTGTTAGACAGCTGTGACATGCATTATTTGGACAGGAACTACTGCATCATAAACTATAATAATGTAGATGATCTTATTCACTGTTATGATATAAACATTAAATATTCACTTTTTATGCTAATGTCAGTTTTCAACTGTATTTACTAGTAGTTTGGGATTATTTTCATCTCCATTTGTTTGGGCCTGAGACAGACATTTGTCGTAGTCCAGTGGTGTGAGCATTCACAGCAGAGTTAGAAAAACTAAATTCAAGTTCCTGATTCAAGGAGTAAGTAATTATTGTGTAGTAGAGCAGCATGAACACACAGACCTTGCCGACAAACAGATGTGTAACAAATAAGTGAGTTTATCATCAGTTTCATCTCCTAAATGAAGTGGCACGCAGGCTCTCAATCGAGTTGATCAAGTTCACAGGAGGTAGTAAACCTTGCAAATCAGTTTAAAGCATGCAGCCTTGATTTACATGAGCAGAAGGATTGTCTGCCTCGTGCTGATGAGGGTCTTCACACTTCTGTGGAGTTGTTTCTGATATTCTCTGGTGTGAGTTTACCACAACATCTCAATATGATTTCCCCTGGGGAACTAATCGCTCAAGCAAGTCTTGAGCAGTCAACAGCTGCATCATTAACAAAGTCATGAAACTCCTTTGTAGAATTTGGCTTCTAATTTATCGATGGGAACTCAGGAACCCCAAAGTTACACTGACATCAAGTTTTCTTTGGAGGTCCTGACAGACATTAGTACCTTTCAGGACAAAATCCTGAACAGCAGGTTCATGAGGCATACTTTGGATGACATCCTTTATCATTTGACATTCCCAGGTTGTCTAGCCATGTAATTGTTTTGCCTGTGTGTTGAGTATGTGTGTTTGGAGCTATACATTGCTTGTGGAGGTTGGAAACAATGTTAAAATTGTGACTTTCTCGCTCTAAGCTTTTCCTTGCAGTTCTGGTTGAAAATGCAGTAAGTATTGATAGAGGTCAGAAGCATGTCTCAAGTCAGAATTTTCCAACAAATACCCTTTTTTCTGAATTACACAGTTGTGTCCTCTGGTTTGTCTTTATTGGATGGTTGAGCTTCTGATGTACGGCTAGAACTACAGGAGCAATATGGCTATTTCAGAAAGAGAAGCTAGGAAGAAGGTTTAAGTTGAAAAGCTTTAATAAAGTAGCTGTTTTCAAAACTTGAACTCCCATAACCCAGTAACTTGAGAGTCAAAAGAACCCCACCCAGACTGCTGTTAAATATATGTTCCAGAGACCATTGATTTTTGAAATACATCCTATAAGTGCTGATTCTGCAAGCGGTTCTTTGTTATAATCAGATCTAAAAGCCCTTTATCTCCTATCAGCTGATGGCTGTGCTATAACCTTTGGCTTCAGACTTCTGGTAGGAACATGGTACATATTTCTACAAAGAATGGAAGTCTAACGGCCTTATCAAATAACAGCAGTACTCGTTGTGTTTAACAGTGCTGGAAATTAGTTTCTCGGGCACTGATCTCAACAGGTCAGCTGTCACAAATTGGTAGATGTATCTGTAAATACATCGGTCCTATAAATAAAATTCTGTCTGCAAGAAGTGGAAGTTAAAATTGGCACACTGCTGAACAAATGAAATGTTCTGAAGCACAAGGATGCACAGGAGAAATCCCTTCTGGAAAAGGTTTTCCTCATGTTCCATTTATCAACTTTATCTGCATAGTTTGTGCCTCCATAGAGGACACTATGGAGTTCTGTGCTGAAGTGAAATATGCTCCCCCTCCTTGCACCTACCCCTACTGAGTAAAAGAGAAATCTTTGTCTATCTCCTTTCAAATAAAAGGAATAAATTTATGTTTTTGCACTGGCATGTTTCCAGCTCCTTTTACAAATTCTTAGTGTTAATGCAGAATGCAAAACGTAGGGTATTTGAAAAGTCTAAGACCCTGATACGAAATCAGATAGAGTTTTTGAAGGGAAAAGGAGTGGGAGAAGGAATTGCAATGTCAGTCACCAGTGGTGAAGTAGTAAATGAATGTGTTACATTTCCCATTTTTTAATAGCTGTTTAATCATCATCTGTAGATTGTGCAAGACATTTTGGCCAAAACCTTCCGTGTATCTTTATCATATACTTACTGCATAGGACAGCTGAAGAAGGCTTGGACAGTAAACTTTCTTTACAGATTTGAGACACAATATATACCGCACATGCATCTATACTGGTCTTTGAAGTTTGTTGAACCGTATTGATTTATGTCATCTGACAAATTGGTCAATTTTGTTTGGCAGTAGCAAAAGCTAAGAAACATCTGGACATATTTGAGAGCAAGCATCTACATTCAAATGTAGAAGATACCGTGGCTATAGGTACCTACCTGTATTGCTGCAGGCACTTTTATGTGCAGAAGCTCATCTGTCACTCCAAACTGGCAACACAGGGGGCAGTTCTCAATCTGAGATATTTAGCTTTCAGGAGTGTCATTAGAAAGCTGAATATTATTCAGTCATTCTCCTCCTCCGTCCTCCAGGTCAGCTGGATAGAAGGAGGTGTAGCTTAGTTCTTTCCTCTCCTGTGTCTCAGCTTTGAAGATTTAGTGACTATAGAATAATTTCCATCAGTTGTGATAGTTATAATGGCTGAATATTCACTGAATGTCCTGGTCTTTTCTAGTTCCCTGTTTATTAGTTTAGTGCAACAAAATGAAAATAAAACTATACAGATCTCTCCCATCACATTTTATCTGTTGGTTTGCTTTTTGAGGCTTTAGGATAAAACTGAAGTCATAGAAATAAATCATGTAGGACATCTAGCCATAGGCATTTTCAGTGAAATAATTTGTTTCCAAGAAGGTTTTGACTTATTACATGAAAATTAGCTTCTGGCAGGAAGAAGCCACATTTCACAGATCTTGGACTATGTTTAATTTCTACAGGGCATGCCTTCAGCTAACAACACTGCTTCCACATATGTGAGCATAGTATTGGTGTTTAAGAGTAGAGCTGAAAAAAAAGGAGGAAACAGTTTCTACTTGAATACTATTTATGACTCTTCTGAACAAAATGATACCATGGATTCTGTTTGAAGGCAAAAGGAGCGTCTGACTGCTGCTGCTGCTGGAGAGCATATTTAGTTTGAATAATCCAAAGGTCACTTAAGATTGACTTTTCTATTGAACCTATTCTATTGAATTTTACTGCATTTCTCTTCAGAAAATGCAGTAAAATTGATTCTTAGAGCGATACATTTAATTGAAAAGTAAAATATTTAGATGTAATGTTCCAGGGAGATATCCTGAAAACATGCATCCAGGTACGTCCAGCAGATGCATGAAGTACTGGTAGATATGAGATACTTGATCATCAGGAGCCTGGGAACTTGAGAGGCTGTCATTGTTTTACTGGTGAGGTAAAAGTAGGGCAAGAAGAGAGAAAATAGGACTTAAGATGGGATCTGAAGAAAGTCCGAGAGAGAAGAGGAGGCAGTTTGACACCACAGAATCTGTGTCAAGAATTTATGACCGTCAGTGAACAAGAACGTTATGCAGCAGGAAAAAAGGTTGGCCTTTGATAAGCAGTAGGGTATGATTTGAAAAGTAGGAGGGGATCCGAGCAGAGAGGGAAATGTGGGATAGTAAGACCACAGATAATCCTGAAGACTGTCAGGCAATATAAACTTACTGGAGAGAAATATCATATCAGAGTGATCTAAGTGAAATAATATGACAAGTACTACAGGTAACAGAGCAGCTATGATGTTACAGGCATTGATGAAAACGCATTCAGGCAAGGTGCTTGTTTATGTCTGTCCTCTGAATCTCACTAATTCTGATTCTGCATTAAAAACCACACACTTCTCCTATCCTCTCTGTATCAGTTCTCAATTCGGTCAGGGTACTGTTAACCGTTTATGTAAACACTGAAAGATTTCTGCCTAACAGTCCTTCAGACTCACTGTACTTTCTGTTCTAGTTGGCGACGTGGGACTCTGAGAAAGGACTGAACGGTAGTCTACAAGAACGACGTCTGGGCAATGACTTACAAGGACTGACACTCAAAGTGGTGACTGTCTTGGTATGATCCTACTTGAGTTCAGGAAACAAACGCTCAAAATAAAAAGAATCTGACTGAGTATTTTGGGCACTTCCCTCAGTATTTTTCCCTATCGTTTTCAGTTCTGTATTTTTGGATGATCAGTTACATAAGCAAGGAAGATAGATCATGGCCTTTTATTATTTTATGTGAAGCTGTGCACTGTCAGAGAGCATTTGTTTGTTTGCTTATGCTGTTTTTCTGCATTGTAATTCCTACTGGGCATGGAACCAGCACAGGCCATGAGTGCACAGGGGTGCATTCCAGATACCGTACTCTGACTCGGACATGCAGTTTCCATCATTTCATGGATTTTAAGATCAGATGGGCCAATTATGATAATCTAATCTTGGCTCTTGTACACTGCAGGCTGTAAAATTTAATCAAGTGTTTCCTCCATCAAGCTCATAAATTCCCATTGAGATAAACTGTATCTTTTAGAAAGGCATAGTCTTTCCAAAAAATCATTATGCTTTTGGGACTACTGTCTGTTAGTATCCGGAGTGGTAGCAGAGCTCCTATCAGCTAAGTGCTAAATTAGGGGCAAATTCGGGCTTGAATGCATTCCCGTCTAAAATATTGTAGTTTGCAGCTTGCAGAATGTGGTGTCTTTCTGAGATTTTTATTTATCTTTTTCTGAATCATGGTACAAATAGGAAGTACCGCATAAGATCATTAAGGCTCTCCTCCCAGCCCCCAGTTTTCTTTCCTCTCTGTGCTGACGGGTGAGGTTATGCTGTAGTTTATGTGGGAGGTGAGCAGATCCCTTCCACGAGAATGTCAGTCGCAAAGGCGGCCAACTGCGATGGCTGTGCCGCCGGCAGCCCCGTCGTTCCCCCGCAGGAAAGCCCATCCCTGACAGAAAACATACCGCAAAATGCTGCATTTCCTCGGTCCCAAAACATACTTTAATATAAAATACTCCAGGAGCCAGTAACCATGAAGGGTATTCTTTGAATTTTCAAAATTTTAAATATTCACAAAATGCAGCATTTTTAGCTCGTTTCAGTATGTCTCCTGGATAAAAGATTAATCATTGTCTGTAAAAGAGGGCTTTCTAAACCTGACATGCTCTGAGATAGATGGACAGTAGTAATGTTCCTATTTAGGACTCTACGTGATTAACTTAATATCTAAGGTAGGTATCTGTGCCTTCTTTATAGTCAGCGAGAAGAGGCAGGTACTTCAGAGAGCAATTCATCCTGCGGACACCAGGAAGCTGCTAGAGGGGGTTGAATTGTCCTCTGGAGTCTCTGTCTCTCCTCACTGACTATAAACTGTGGAAAACCCAAGGCCACGGACAGGACTCAGGTGATGAAGCACTGGTGCCTGGTTGGGATGCCTCAGTATCCCACCTGGCCTACAGTTTTTGCCTCAGAAGGTTATGAGTGTCTCAAAATCTGTGCCAAGTTGTCCAGAATTAACTCAGGAAACATCCTTTTGCCAAGAAAAGCAAACGAAAAAATTTGTTTCAAGTATCAGTTAAGATATTGTTTTGTTCTCAGGAAGAACCTTTTGTGATGGTGGCGGAGAACATACTTGGGCAACCAAAACGATATAAAGGATTTTCCATTGATGTCCTGGATGCGCTTGCCAAGAATCTGGGCTTCAAGTATGAGATATATCAAGCTCCTGATGGCAAATATGGACAGCAGCTTCAAAACAGCTCCTGGAATGGCATGATTGGAGAACTCATTAACAAGGTACACAGAGAAGAAGCTGATTTTAAAAAAAAAAAAAAAAAAAAAAAAAAAATCTTCGGAGTTGGGTGTCAAAGCTTTATAAGGGGGTGGTTTAAATTCTCCCTTTCCTCCATTCCAAATTACAAGAGAATGAATTAGGATGAAAGTACCAGTGCAGAAGACTTCTGAGCTATGGGTGGTTTGAGTGTGGTGTAAACTGTGCAATTTAAGACCCTGCACACAGGGTAGGAGCTAGACAGTCTGTTTTTCTATTTACTCCCAACTGTTCTCAACATAAATTATATCAGTGTAAATTTGTGTGTTTACATAGCTGTAAGAATAAGAAGAGAGGACATATAAGTGTGTGTGAATGAATGACTACGGAAAATAGAGAAAAAATAATGTATTCTTCTTAAAATATTAATTACTATTATTTTAATTTTTGTCATTATGTCTTTGCTACTTGTTTGTAGGAATGACTTTATTTGGGTCACTTTGTGGCAATGTGTTTGATAACGGTCAACTCTCTGACTCCAAAACAGGAAAAGCGTCCATAGTAATATACCATAAAGAAGTGTTTTGAAGGACCAGAGTTTAAACTGATCTCAAGATTATTCGTTCATTTAAAACTGAGACGACCAAATTTCTTTTCTTAATTACAGTCTTGCAAATCAGGAGTAAGTTAATTGAACTCCATTGAAGTAAAGGGGGGAAGTCCGTAGCTTAGAATCTGCTGGAGAATGAAATTAGTGTATTTTGTTCGTGTTCTCACTATCTGACATGGGACAAATGTTAATCAAGAAGGAGAATCAAAGGAATTAATATTCCATGTTGCTGCCCTTTGTAGAAAAGGTTACTCTTCTGCAGTGGAGTTATTACTGAAAGTGAAAGCTTTCTCATTACCTAGTAAGTAGGCGGCTCAGTATCTGGTAAGTAGATGTTTAGAAAGAAATAGAAGCAATTAAAGCAATAGCGAATGTGTGTATGATAATGGGATATTCTTGGTTGGTGCTAGGAAATATAAAGAATTCTGTACTTATTTTGCATTGGCATAAGCTGTTTGAATTTCATTGACTTGAAAATGTGGTAAGAAATCCTGTTAAATTTCTTTGGAAATTGCTTTCTTTGAAGCAACAAAGTATCTATTATGGTATTTTGAAATGGTATTTCTGCTACTAGCTTTTCCACCGACTCCAAAGGATTTCAAAGCAGACCTCCCTCACCTAACATTAGCTTTACTTCCCAACAAAATGTAGAGCTAGGAGATGAAAAGTACGTTCTATTTTTTGAAGAGAACTTGTTTTATTAAGATGGAAAAATATGCAAAATCTAATTGCAGCTCTTTAAAAGCTTTGGAATCTTATTTATTAACTCCTGTTTTATCTTTCATTGCGTTTTCATACTCTTTACGGACCCTCTATGTGTAAAACCTACTCGCTTTAAATGTTGAGGTCAAAACAGTTTCAGGAGTTAAGTTGCCTTTGGTGCATTCTTCCAGTTACTAGTTTTTGCAATCGCTTTATTCATTGTAAAAAACAAACAAAATCTTCCCCCCAGTTGTCATATGAAATCCCTTCATGACTACGGGCAGTTGGCAACTCTGCAGGGAGAACAACAAACATCAGCTCTTCACACCTTGCTATCAAATACACAAGCTAAATAAATGGTGTTTCTTTCTTATTGCTTGCGGTGCACCAGGTTAATATGGTTTGGAGTTTTAGGCATCCTTTGGAAAACAAGTGAGGGATAAAGGTTAAATAAATCGCACTCGTTCCAGAGAGGAGTCAGGGTGACGCTTTTTGTTCTAGAATATTTTGACAGGTTATGTTTCACTATTTTGCATTAGACCAGTGCAATTAATTAGTGTTCAAATTATGAAACTGATTCTAGTTTTATTTTTAGACAACTTGTTTTAGTTTGTCTAAACGTGTTAAATTATAGAAAGAAATGCATGGAGGCACTTGGTTCTTAAAAAGCTCCTCCTTAGGGCTCATGCTGGCAGAATTCATGGTGAAAGGAAGAGATCTGATCTGTTGCATTTGTCTCGCAGAGAGCAGACCTAGCCATCTCAGCCATCACTATAACACCAGAACGAGAGAGCGTTGTGGACTTCAGCAAGCGGTACATGGACTATTCCGTGGGGATCTTAATCAAAAAGCCCGAAGAAAAAATCAACATCTTCTCTCTCTTTGCTCCTTTCGACTTTGCGGTGTGGGCTTGCATTGCTGCAGCCATCCCTATAGTCGGTGTCTTGATTTTTGTCTTGAACCGCATCCAGGCAGTCAGGGCGCAGAATGCTTCCCAGCCGAGCCCTTCCGCTTCCTCCACCCTCCACAGTGCCATCTGGGTTGTGTACGGCGCCTTCGTTCAGCAAGGTACTTACTCTTTTATAAACACCGCTGACGGATGTTCAGAAATGTTCTGCCTTGGGTGAAGCAGGTTAGGACACGTTAGTCTTGGCCAGAACGGTCTAAAGATGAAAGAGAAGGCTCGTACGGGGAGGTAATACATTTTATTAGCCCCGCTGATGAAAAGTGGGAAGAGGTCGGTAAGTTTGAGGGGTTATGTTCTGCTTTTCTGTCTCTCGGTAAGTCCAGAAAAAACACTCCGTGCAGGCTTTTCCAATTTGGGAAAATTATTGCGTGATAAATAAGCTACAGAGCTGCTTGGTGCAGAATTACAACACTTCAACTCTGAAACTGGCACCTTTTCTAACTGTTTAAATTTAATTTTAGAAACTTATATGTTTTTGAACTAATGTGAGACAGTTTATCTTTTGGTTCTTTGAACTGAATAGGAAAATGTTTTGTAGTCATGTAACTAACTTTACACTCAGGAATCTCTAGGCGTAGGACTAATTCTATTGAATTCAGTAGGATTGCTACCATTAACAAAGTTACTTTTGCAAATAATTGTTTGCAAAATCTGCCCACACAGCTTTTGTCCCGTATCTATAATGTTAGCACCATTCTTGGAAGGCAGGTTTTGTTGAATGCTAACATATGGGTATGTTGTTAAATTTTTTCTATAAATTTTTTTCATTGTGATTGCAAGCTTATAAAGCTTCAGCTGGAAAATCCTTGCTATTGCTATCATCTCATTAAGGTGGCACCCCTGGTGCGTTTAAGTACAGTAAGATATAATCAGCACAAACATACGCTGAAGTGACTAGCACCAGCTGTAGGGTAAGGTTTGGTCTCCAGCAATGTTCAAGCATAACTGTGCTTGAAGCCTGCTAGAAAGAAATCTTCACGTTGTTTGAAAAGTTGTAAAGAGTAACAAGTAGTGACACTAATGCTTCAGTCTTTGCAGATTTAAATACAGCACAGGTAGCACACAAACCATTGGACAGTTTCATGGGTTTTTTCCAAATCTAAAATCATCATTGAAAAGAGAGTATTACTATATTCTGAACACAGATGATTTAATTCCTGCATATTAGTTGTGCTTCACGATTAAACTTATTTTATTTAGAATATTTTTCATGTTCTGTGGATTTGATCCTCAATAATTGCCAAGGGAAATATTTTGCGAGACGATTTTCTACAACAGCATCCAGGGCAAGAGGTTGACTGGAGAAAACATAAATTATCAGTCTTGACGGAAGCAGTGCTTTTCTCACAGTGAAAGGGCAGTCTGGAGGGGAAGCAGAAATGCAGAGGGGTGGCTCCAACAAAGTTTAACATAACGGGGCACACAGAGGGTGATCTTAAATGGAAGCTGCTGAGAGGCCTTCTTTTGCTCTGTTTATTTCTAGGGGGCGAATCTACTGTCAATTCTGTGGCTATGCGCATTGTAATGGGAAGCTGGTGGCTCTTCACCCTTATCGTGTGCTCTTCCTACACAGCGAACTTAGCAGCATTTCTCACAGTATCAAGAATGGATAATCCTATAAGGTGAGAGCCTCTTCTTAACATGAAGCCAGTAACCTGGGTTTCACAGAAAGGTATTATCCATTTGAGCACTCATTCTTGCAAGAAGGAGATAATTCTCTAATAAAATACTCTCTGCTTTTTTGCAGTGGCTCTTTTTCTCTTCTCAAGCCCCCTTCTCTTTCACTCCTACCACCCCAAGCAGTTTTGACATGTGCACGGAGGGGACAATGGCACTTTAATTGTGTGTTTTTCCAGAAGAGGTGTCTTTCATGTTTATATGTATTTTGCTTAACTAGAGCTCTCAGTGCTTCAGCTGTCTTTATTTCTTCCTTGATCATCAGAGGGAACTGTCACCTCTAGGGAACTATATAACATTTCACTTCTCACCTTCAATGTGTAATTTTATGTTCTCAATATTTTGATATACAATGTTTTTTATACTATTATTTGCATGTAAGGTAATATAGGTGGTCTTTTAAAATCTAAATGTCCAAAATATAAATGGCCAGATTCAGTGGCATTATTTGCAGAAAAAGCTTCTTCTCAAGGACGAAAAGATAACCGAACCTGACTCCAGGATAATAGATGTAATATAGCAGTTGTTTTATTAAATTTATATATAATTCTCTACAATTGTGTTGGCAATATTGTGATGATAAATTACAGCTTCTGTAACAAACCCAATTTATCTTGCACCTTTGACTTCTTTTCTCTGCTGTTTGCCTACTAATCCATACCCAATGAGAATATTTTCAATACAGCAGATCTCTGAGCAGCTCCAGAGAGGTGCTGGGTTGTTTGATGGCAATTTGTGTGTGTGTGTGTGTGTGTGTAGTTTGTTTTTCTTCAGAAAATTTAAAGGCTAAAGAATGTTTTCATTTTTTCTCTCAAAACACGGACAAAATTTCCAACTGCACACTGTCATGGAGTACTGGGAGGGCCGTTGATCTTCCGTGGTCAGTGCCGACAGGATTAGAGCCTGGTATCTCATGTTTGGTCTGATGGAGTGGAGAGGTGGCCAGAGGGACGGGCAGCGCGACACAGGCTCTCCTCCTAGAAAATGCTGAGCCAAGGATTTTAGGTGCTAGAGCGCGACACAGTTACTCTGTTGGTTTCACTGGGACTGTAATCTTTGTGCTCGGCTCCTGAGCAGAGGCATTGGCACTTAGGTGAGGCTGGCACTTGAAAAAGATGCTTTTGCCTTCTCTGGGGTTTCTTATATAGATGAGTTTAACAGTATTTCCAATTTTTAACTTGCCATTGTGTACTTGCAGGTAATGTAATGCTTTGTATGGATATAGTATAAAAAGTTTTGTTTTTAAATTAATTTTCTGTTAGTTTGACCAAAATAAGTGGGTTTTCACAGTAATAGAAATAAGAACTACAAGTAGTTTCTGGAAATAACATGAGAAACTAAACAGAATAAAACCCGCAGAGTATCTGTGAGGCCTGGCTGCAATGGGAATAAGGTTAAGCTCAATGAATAAATTGCTCTTGAAACCCAAGACAGAAATAGTTATCTGGGAAGCTTGAATAATGATCTTCTTAAAAATTTCTGAAAGGTCTAGTTCCTTCATGGCAGAAGAAATTGCCTGTTTGGTCTACTGAGCACCTCCCAAAACTCAGCAAAGTTCAGAGAAGGACAAAAGTTGGGGTGAAATGCAGTGAGGAATCTGCAAAAAGAGACACAGGTTTAAGAGCAAAACTATGAACTATCAGAGGAGGCCTTTGAGGCTGAGCTACTACAACATTTACAAGGGGTTCTGATTCGCCTTCTTATTAAAACGAAAGGACATTGCTAAGAATCTTGAGGGAGGGAGAGAAGATTTTTGGGTAAAGGAGGTGCTTGGTGTTGTTTTGGGACTTTAGAGCCCAGACGCCCTTCTACTGTTAGAGATGGCAGCTGAAGAGTTATAACTAAATGCCCTTCTATACCTAAGGGTAGCTGCCACTTCTCAGGTTCCCAATATCACATCCCCTTGTACAAGGCGAGGATACAGAAAGAAGAAAGCACTCTGCTGTGATCTGCAAACACCAGCAGAGTAATTCAGGTGCCAAACCAGAAATGTCTAAAGTAATTTAAATTGCCATAAGGTTCACTGCCTGTGCTCCAGCTACTTGGCTTATAAGGGTGGAGGTCTCCATTAGGTGTTGTCAGCCACAATGTGGATTATTCATATTGCCTGGGGTCTCTAAAGCCTGGATGCTTTGGCTTAGGCACCCGAATCATTCCCCAAATAATCTGAAATGGTAGTTGTCAGAAAACTCTTTGATTTGATCACTGGTTGGCATAACAGCCAGTTAAGGGACTTGCTTGTCTTGGC